AGAAAATATAAACTGAAAAGTCGCCCTTTGTTGTTATTAAAAGGTGGTGTTTTGCCAGAGTTTGAGGTAAGTGCTTTGCTTTCCGTCACTGTGAAATGGACGTTGGGTTGTACATAAGGACCTGGATTTGTTGATCAATGAAGAAGAAGTAGTGGTAGAACAAGCATCAGCACAGAGACAGCAGACGGTGGAAAGTACGAATGATGGGATTCGATACGCTGTTGGGAATGATGAGAGTCTTCTTGCCGAGGTGAGTAGGAATAGTCCACATTGAACAAATCACTTTGGATATCTTTTACAGCTTGAAAACCGGAAAAAGAAGTTACAAGATGAAGAAACAACACCACAATCTACAAAGAAACCTAGCAAGAGTCAAAGAAGGAGATGGAGGAAGAAGAAGTTGCGGAAAGTTCGTTCTGCGGAACCAGTACAAAGTCACCCATCGGGTTCTTCTTCTACCGATTCGATATCTTCTGAAGAGAAAGACTCACAGGAAAAAGTATTTCTTCCTAGAGGCAACATTTCTTCCACTTTACGTAGACTGGAAAAGGAACGTTTATGGGCTAGTCAGGATGAACAATGGAACCAAAGTTATGTGTTACAAGGTTCCAAACCTATACTTGGTGAAGATAATCTGCCATCTGAATGAAAGCAATCTACAGAAGAAGAAAAATGTATTTTCTCAAGATTTATGATGATGGTAGGACGATTCTTCAATCCGTATTCTCTAATTGGGTTCTAACAAGTTCTAGTAACCATGGATCATCAAAATACTTGACTATAGATACATCCTCACTGAGCCCTTTACGTCTTCTTGTTTTCACAAGGCATTCTCTGGCTAGTGCCGATGCTGGAGAAGGTTCCAAAGGCTTGAGAATGATATTCTGATCGAGTGGGTCACCTGGCATCATCTCCCAATGATCAAACATAGAAAGACAAAATGCTTGGCCTTGCGTAAAAGTACGAAGGTCAACTTCAAATCCAAAAGAATCCAAAACTGGAATAAAAGCCTTCAAAGTAAATAAAGGACTTGCAGGTTTTGGAGCATCTTCTGTTACATGACCTCGACGTCGAGCTAATAATGTATACACTGCTGCAACACAATCTGCTGGACAAATAATTTCCACTGAATAAATAGGTTCCATAAGTCGAGGACTTGCAGTTAACATCGAAGAATAACAAACTCTTCTAGTTGCTGGTATCAATTGTGCTGGATTACGAGCAACTAGATCATTGGCTATGAGTGCGTGTAACAAACGAAATTTCACTCCACGAACTGGCTCATCGCATAAAGGACCTTCTCGAACTGCCCATTGAAAGCCTTGTATGATGGAATCACGTACTTGATACAATAAACTTTTATCCTGCTTGCCATCAAATGATTGATTGGGATTCAAAGAATAACTTACCGTATCTCCACCAGGTAACGTATCATCTAACAAGGCATTGGGACCATTTAAGGAGCTCGGTCCAAATGTCCATAAACCACGAGCTGCCAGAATATCCCAGTCATACTGCTCACGAACCATCTTCTCAAATCTTTCTCTATTGTTGTCCAAGGAGAATGAACCACTTTCAATCTCTTCCGCCAATCCACTTTCTAATGGCTCAGCAATCATTGTAATCTTGTTTTTCTTGTTGGAAGTTTCCGCAAAACATCTAAAAAATAGAGAGAATGTTAGTTGATACAAACAAGTATTGCAATATCAATTACTTTATAGATGAAGTATCAGAAACCGTCTCACAAAAAGGAACCGAAGGGTCGGATACTTTCACTTCTATTTCAGCAAAAGTGGTTCTCAAGTCATATAAAACACAGTCGAGATATAATTCTCCTGTTCCTAAGATGACATGTTCTCCACTTTCTTCAACTTTGGTTTGCAATGCTGGATAGCTCTTATTGCATTTTCTTAAGCCATCAACCATTTTTGGTAACTCTGAAGGTCTCAATGGTTCAATGGCAACTCTTACAACTGGACAACTGACTCCAGTTCCTAAAATGGATGTTGCTGGCTGAAATATATGCATATCCTTCCAAGATTCATATTCCGAAGTTATAACAGTTGCACTTTTAAATATCGAGTCATCTATGCCTTCTATAAGTATCCAGGAACCTGCATAAGCTGCCGTCACTTCCAATTTATATCTGCCACCTGGAATGTATATATGCGAAACTCTATCTTCAGCTTGGTCTTCATCGTCAAATTCTGGATCATAGTTGTCTCCAAGTATTCGAACTTTTTGTCCAGGTTGAATACGTCCACTCATGATTCTTCCCAATGCATAAAATCTTTCAAAGCTGGGATTAGGTATCAACTTAGTCACCAATACCACGAGTGGCCCTTGACTATCACAGTTCATCATATATTCTACAACCTCTGAATCCATAGGACCTGTGTAAAAGGATTGTACTTTATGTTTCGAACTGTACAAAGGAGAGGGAATGCAATCAACGAGCATGGATACTAAACCTGTTGAAGGACCCATAAATGATGAAAGGCAATGCTGTAAAAGAGGCTTAACGTCTGACATATACTCCTTATTCTTAAAATGGAGTCCTAAGGATTGCATGATTTTCTTCAAATCCTCTACTTTACAAGACACGACTGCAGATGTCAATTTATACAAAGGCTCCAATATGAAGGATACAAATGTACGAAAAACTTCTTCGTCTTGTGATGAAGATGGTTGATTAACAAATTTACGGTTTTCTTTCTCATAATATATATCTCCCCACAGTCTAGAAACTAATGCTTCTAAAGGTAAAGGACATTCCGGATATTCCATCAAGTAATGGTTGGCAAATTGTGCAAGAGTAAAAGACCATCCTTGAAGAGCCGAAGCAAATGCAACATTTCCACGTTCTGGTGAAAGAATCGGAAAATTCTCCAAACGGAATTGTTCGACATATTTACGAATTGTGGAGTTAATATCGTCCAACGTATGTAAAATCTTAAAATATGCGTCTGATGGGGGCAACCGAAGTTCTAAAATGAGTCTATCCATTTTGTTCAAAACCAAAGTTATGGCTAGACCTTCCATTAGTGCATGTTTTAAAACCAATTCAGTTCCCGACATGAGACCTTCTACAACATCGACTACTAAAAGAATACCGTCAGCTATTCTTAAAGAAGTCACTACTTCATCAAAGAAATTCACGTGTCCCGGAACGTCCATAAAGTGAACGGCATAATTCTTTCCAGTCATAGTCGGAAGTAAGATAGTCATTGGAGTCGCCTTCAAACTAATAGCCCTCTCTACTTCATCTTTTCGAGTGTCTGTATATTTCAAGGGTCTTCCTTGTTTATCTTTCCATTGGATTTCATGTGTCTGTCTGATCAAAGTATCCAATAAACTTGTCTTGCCGTGATGAAGATGCCCAACAACTGCAACGTTACGAACTAGGGAAGCGTTTCCCGCTACATTCGCAAGATATTCTTTGCTATAGGTTGTTTTGGGAATTTCTCTTTCCACTCTTTCAAACAGCTTCATTTTCACCGGCTCGATTATAGACTGGGAAAGGGGTTGAGTATCTTCTTCTTGTACAATAGTTTCAACTTCTTCACCGTAAACTTCCATTGGAGTAGGATAGTATTTCTTGTCTTCTGCCAGAACAATTTGCGACTCAAAAGTTTGCGTTGTCTCCACTTCTCCGTTCTCTTCAGGAGCTTGTTCCAACTGTGGTGACGCTGGAGCAAAGTCACGGTCGTTTTCATCTTCTGATTCCGCACTTGACTCTTCCACTTCTGGTCCTATATAATTCCCAAACTCATCATACCACTCTTGGTCCATATATATATATATATATATATAGGCTTCCTCGTTATTCTCTTTTCAACTCAATTACTCGAATAATAATTGCAGTAATTTTTCTCATTGGGGGTGCCTCGTTCTGATGAGTAACATTCTTACAACGGAAGAGGTAAACTATCTCATCTTCCGTTATCTTCAAGAGTCTGGTAGGCTTCCAATAATTCTTTTTTTTTCACTTGAGTTTACGTTGAAAGGATATATTCATACCGCCTTTGCTTTTGGTTATGAAAGTCACATCAACAAGACGACCATAGATAGTTCTCTCATACCACCTGGTGCTCTCATTTCGTTTCTCCAACGCGGCATAAGTTACGTTCAAATAGAGAGCAAACTTAATATTAGCTCAGTATGCAATCCTTTGGTTATAATACTTGTTTGAATGACTTTCATAGGGAAGTGAATATGTAACCAACGGACACGTCTCCTTATTGGAAGCACACAAAGCTTTGGCAAATAGAAAACGTATAAACAATGCTGCTACTGGAGAGGAGCCTTCAAAAGGCCCCGAAACAGAATTTACTGAAGCGGAGGTAACCATTTTGACGGGACATCAGAAGGAAGTGTTTACCTGCGCTTGGCATCCCAAAAAACCGTTACTTGCGTCTGGTTCTGCGGATGCTACAGTTCGTTTATGGAAACTTTCTGGAAACTCCAAAGGAGCTATGGAAGGAGCAGTTGAATCGATTGAACTTAAACATGGTTCGCCTCCGTTGCAAGATAAAGATGTTACTGCCTTGGATTGGAATGGAGACGGCTCTCTTTTGGCTACTGGTTGTTATGATGGACAGATTAGACTATGGAGCGATGAAGGTCAACTTCATAGCGCAGTAGAAACTCATACAGGACCTATTTTTGCAGTAGAATGGAACCGTAGAGGAAACTTTTTGTTAAGTGGTAGCGTAGATAAGACCTGTGCAGTATACGATGTTGCACAAAGTAAGCGTCTTTTTCTTGTCATTTTGATATACTGTAAGAATATATTGTTTAGATCGTCTCTTGAAGCGGTTTTCATTTCATACGGGTCCAACTCTAGATGTGGATTGGCGTGATGACACTAGTTTTGCTTCGTGTTCTACAGATAAGACAATATATATTTGTAGAGTAGATGAAGATGCTCCGTTAAGAGTATTTCACGGTCACGAAGATGAAATCAATACTGTGAGATGGGACCCGAGTGGTAGCATGTTGGCATCTTGTTCAGATGATCGAACCGTGAAAGTTTGGAGTTTAGAGACTCGACAAGTCAATGGTCAATCTACTAGTTGTCTATATGATTTTCGTGAACATTCTCGCGATGTTTATGCTGTTCGCTGGAGTCCAAGTGGTCCGGGTACGGAGAATCCGAACAAGGCCTTGTTACTAGCTAGTGCATCGTTTGACCATACTGTCAAGTTGTGGGATATTCAGTCTGGTATTTGTCAGTGGACATTATCCAAGCATACGGAGCCAGTTTATTCGGTTTCCTTTTCCCCTGATGGAGAATATATTGCATCTGGTTCCTTGGATAAATATATACATGTCTGGAGTATTCGAGAAGGTAGAGTTGTACGTTCATTTCGAGCGGATGGAGGTATCTTTGAAGTTTGTTGGAGTCCGAGTGGTGACCAGATTGCAGCTTGTTTGTCAAGTAATATGGTTTGTGTATTAGATTTTCGCATGTAAAAGAATTATCAACGCATGCAAAATAAATTCAGGAAAAAAATGCCACGTAAATTGGCGCCAAAAGAAATAGAGAATCTGGAATTTTCCACCAACGGTTGAGTTTCTCACCACAAATAGCGCCGCGAAGACTTCTGGAAGTTTGAGGATTGCCGCTTATCCATTTTGCCAAATCCAACTAGCATAATGTCACATACCACTTGTAGAAACTCACAAGACAATACTAGAGCTGTTTTTCATTGTTCTGTAAAAGGCATCAACGAGGAATCAGTAAACGACCACAAGCAACCAGTTGAAGCTACCAATAACAGTCAGGTTATCAACAAAAGAAAGAAAAACTATTCAGAAAGGAACCACAATTTATGGCTGAGGAGAGTACGCAGGCTTTTGTTTCCGGAAAGAGAACAATATCGAGAGTCTTTGTTGTATCAAGTTCCGTTATGGGAAGATGAAGGGGAGGATCAGCTACAATCAAGAGAAAAAGAGTCTTTTCATGAAGAGTTGTTACAACTTTTGCGACAAATTCAACACAAGAAAGTAGAAGTTTTTAAGGCTAGATGGAATTTCGATCCTTTAACCCAAACACCTTTGGAAGGAAGATGGAAGTGGACAGAGTTGCCAGAATAAGAGTTGCATTTTCTATTCCCTTTTTGTATATCGGAAACATAACAGAATGAGACAAGAGTAAACCAACCGGAAACATTTTTGGTCAAAAGCATCAAGACTCGTGAAACTTTGAGTTATTCATTTTACACGAGTAGTATTTATATAAGTTCTATTCGCAAGATACAAGAAGCGGTTGTTATCCTAAGGAGCTAGATAAGTTGGGCTTGTTTGCTTCATTTTCGTCCCTTAAGGATTGTTGTTCCTTTTGTCTTCTCAATTCTCTCAGTTCCAAACGAAGTTGGTCGTGATCAATTCTAGGCGCTTCAGGAGGATACACAATATAAGGATGCTAAGTGATGGGGAAGAATTCAATTGAAATTCTTGGAACAACGAAAGTTCTCACCTTTTCAATAAATTTATCCAACAATCCATATCGACCTGACCCAAAGAAATAAACCATTCCAACAGGAAACGCAAAATATATGAAAAACTTGGTGCTTTCCAATACTTTCCTTTTCCCTAAAGTCTTGTCAAAAAGTTTTTGTGCAGCCTTTCCAACCGAGTCCAACATGACCAATCAATCCCTCCAATGAAATGTGTAACTGATGATTATTTATTTGTGAAGTTTGACTTGTCAATGTCTTTCATGTTTTTACAAAGTGGACTTGTAGGGTAAGCATAGGTTGGTTGGCACGAAAGAAAATATAGAGTGTTGAAGGACTGCCTACAAGTTGTATCAACTGCTACCTTGAGAAACTCTCTTTTTCTTGAGTACTTTGAGGGGTTCCATTCGTTTAACTCGGAACCAACCGAATATTATGGAAGAAAATAGTTCGACCAAAACAGATGTAGTGAAAGGCTGCAAATGTGGCAAAAGCAAGTGTCTTAAAATGTACTGCGACTGTTTCAACTCGGGCGTGTATTGTGGTCGTCATTGTATTTGTGTTGGATGTTATAATAACGAACAACATCAAGTGGAGAGAGAAGCTGCAATAAAGTCGGTATTAGAGAAGAATCCGGACGCATTTCAACCCAAGGTTGCCACTTTTAGAGACTCGGTATGATTGTAGTAATATTTGAGAAGGATATCGTATTTTATGTTTATTTAGGGAGGGCTGATTGTGAAGCATAACAAAGGTTGCAATTGTCGGAAGACAGCTTGCCTTAAGAAATATTGTGAGTGCTTTCAGAGTGGGGTGCTTTGTTCAGAACTATGTAAGTGTTCGGGGTGTAAGAATTTTGAAGGTTCTTTGGAGTTGCACAACGTTCGAGTAAGTGGAACAAGTTCTTCACAGGAGGGTCCCTTCAAGGGACAAACTACGTTTGCTTCTTCAAGTGCAAGTCATCCTAATATTGCAGATAAAAAGGAACTGCTGGAATCCCACAAAACGTTGTCACAGAATAGTTTGGATACTGTAGAAGACAGAGAATGTGATCCCAGTCCATCCACTGGATTAGACCACTCGCACGGTGTAAACACAATGACTATTCAACCTGTTAATTTTTCTGTTCAACAGCCTCTATATTTTCGAAAGTCTTTGGATCAACCCAAGAAAAAGTTGAGTCCATGGTTGGGTATTCTATCGTTGTCCGAGTTGCGAGTGGATGCTGCTTCACTTGTTTCGTTGGCCAAAGATAAAAAGAAGCAAATGGGTACAAATAGTCAGAAAGATAAAGCGGACAGAAGAAGAAGAAGAAGAAGAAGAAGCTTTGTTGTTGTGTGAGGAAAGTGAAATTACACAAAATGTTTCAAAAACAAATAGAGAGCTGGATCATTGCGTAATGAACTTGCTTTTAGAAGAATGTGCTGCAATACTACAACAGTATAGAAAACAATGGATGGACAGGCAAAAAGAAACGTGGACTCATTCATGGAAACCACCCGATTGAATATTTCAGGAATTGATGTTACAAACTTCATGAGATGAACTAGTCGCCAACCAAACAAAAATACTTTCCATTTATCCAACGACACAAATAAAATGGAACTATACGAGAAAAACACAACACAAATCAGATAGAATATCGACTGGTTCCCCCCACAACAAGACTTGAACTACATGCCATAGATATATTTGCAAGACGGCTTATGGAATCCATTGAAGCTACTTGCCAAGCTGATGGTGTAGGCACCCATATCTTTGAAATAAATCCAATCTCCAACATCCAACTCTCGCAGCGGATAATCACGAATGATACAATCAATAGAGTCACAGGTTGGACCAAAGATAGTACTCTTCAATATGCGTCGATTGGAACAGTGAGGAAAACAATTGGGATAAAAAGTAATGCCAAGCGTCAAAACATCTCTAAAGGAACCATAAACGCCATCATCTATATAATAATCCACACAATCTTCTCTTGAACCAGCTTCATCTCCACGCAAACGATGTCGACGTCCGTTCACACGAGTCATCAAAGTATGACTAGAGCCAACAAAATAACGACCAGGCTCGGCAATAATCTCCACTTGTTGCTCTTCAGGAAACAGTTTGTCCAAGTGTCCTCGAATTCCTTTCGCAATTTCCTCAAAAGTAATGGAAGACTCTCCGTCAAATCCAGGAAATCCACCACCAATATCTAAAATCGTCATGGGAGGCAATCCCATGCTTTCAGCTATATCAAAAACTCGACGTGCATTTTCGATAGAAGAAATATAAGATTTCACACAACGACATCCCGAACCAACATGAAATGCAACTCCTACAACACGTACATTGAGTGTCTGTGCAATACTTAAAAGACTAGGAACTTCTTCCATAAATGCTCCAAACTTGGAACTCAATGGACACAAAGAATCTTCGTCTTCAGTTGCGATACGCAATATGGCTCGAACATGGGAACCAAGTTGACGCAACTTGTATAGTTCATCTCTATTATCAAAGGTAACCAAAGTAACTCCCTTTTCCACTGCGTAGGAAAGATGATGCTGTGGCTTACAAGGATTGGCATAGATAACTCGATCGCCTGATACTCCAGATGCACTGACAAGTTTAATCTCCGATTTCGACGCACAATCGAAGTTGCAACCAAGTGCTGCAAGTAAACGTACAATTACCGGATCTGGATTGCATTTGACTGCAAAATAAGGATGTACACGAGGAAGTTGACGGACAAACTCGAGGTACTTCTTCTCTACAGCTCCAATATCGATGACATAAAAAGCTTGCTCTTCTCCCCGATGTATAAATTTACTGGCAATCCACTCCAGATCAGTTCCCGATGGCACTCGATACACCTTACTGGGCAAATTTTTCAAAAGACTTTCCACCATTTTGCAACAACTTGGTTTGACAACAGAATATCCACTACTCGACTTGTGAGACTCTTCTACAACACTTCGTTCTAAGTCAGCTGATAAATTTTCTCTTTGCTTGTCTTGTCGCAACTCAATAGACAATGTATCTTCACTGTTCACACTTTCAGAAAAGGTACGAGATAAGACACTGCAGGAATAATTTTCAAACCAATGAGAATCATCGCGTACTTGTGAGACTTGGTTTTGAACCTTGCAGTCCTCATCAACTTCTGAGACAGCTGAAGGTAAGGCTTCGAACTGGCACGAAACCGATGAGTGGGAGTAACACTGCTGACTTTCTAAAGTCATACTTGACAAGTAGGGCTGGAAACTTAACAAGTCTCTACGGACAAAAGAGCAATTTTTGAAGATAACTTGTCGGCTACAGTTTCTGCCTCTAAAAAGTTGAGATGTACGACAACTATAACGAAAACTATCACAGACAAACGCTATGTTTCCCAATCTGCCAATACTGTACCAAATAACAGAGGATGTCCAACAGGATCACGAAACTATGGTTGTCAAGATATCGAGTTCAACAATATCAATCTTCTTCAGGTATAAGTGGAGGCGGGAGTTTCCTTGTGGTTGTACAACTAACAAAATTACGCACAGCGGCAAAAACAATCAGTTTCGAGAGCATAGGAAACCAAACATCCCCACGACCGGTCCACTTCCACCGGCCACTAGACAAGTTGCTCGACCAAAAAACAGGTTCACTTGCGTAAAAGAAACTTGACACCGAAACTAAATATATTCAACTAATGCTTATATATAAAGAAAGTATGCAAAGACTTAAACAAGGCAACAAAAACCAAACACACGAACAACAACGACGAACGAGAATACCCAAAATTGCGCCAAATGAAGAGTGTCGCCGCTTTCAAAGGAGTGATTTGATGGAATCCGTGTCACGCTTTACTTCTGCAGACAGTTGAAGAGTAAAATAGATTATGGAATAATAAAGATATGAGTTGATGAATGAAGAGATGGTGCCTCGTAAAAGACACTGGGATATATATAATAGATTGGAAAGGTTTCAAAGTCTTGAGCTGGAAGGGTACAGTAAACAGACCTCTACATATTTCTAATAAACCTATTGAAAAGACTAATGCTCGAGCTATTCCTGCAACTCTAGAAACAAAGTAAAATCCACAAAGCTTTATTGAAAGCTGCAACACTCGAGTATCACTCAATCGTTCCCCGGCTAATACTTCCATAGAATACCTAATCTAATCACGGCGTTTTGCTGCAACAGAGTCTGTTGGAGAATGAGTAGGCACAACTTTCGAGGTTTTGTATTCGTCATTCTTTTTTCCTTGAGCACTTTCTTCCTCAATTTGACTCTTTATCCAGATATATGTCCTTTTTAGACCTTCTGCAAGATCAACTTTAGGCTCCCATCCAAGAACTTTCCTGCAAAGATCATTATTGCTATTTCTGCCTCGAACACCTTCAGGACCAGGAATATGCTTGATTTTCAATTCTTTGTTTTCAAATTTCATTATAAGCTTGGCCATGTCATTCATAGATATCATTTCTTCGGAACCGATATTCAAGGGTTCAGCGAAGTCGGATTCCATCAAGCGAATTACTCCTTCGACAGCATCATCGATATAGCAAAATGAACGAGTCTGTTCGCCATCTCCCCACATTTCAAACTCAGTGTCAGAAACAATACATTTGCGACAAAATGCAGCTGGAGCTTTCTCACGTCCACCTTTCCAAGTGCCATAGGGTCCATATATATTATGAAACCGTCCGATTCTCGTCTCCATCTTGAAATCTCTACCGTAATGAATAGCCATTTCTTCTGATGCAAGCTTTTCCAATCCATACGCGTCCTACGATAACTTAGTCATTTCCAAACTATATTACGAATAATATACCTGTGGTTGTGCAGGCCATGCATCCGACTCCTTCAGCCCTGGGTTCTTAGGGTCTAATTGCTTGTTTTCTGGATATATGCAAGCAGAAGATGCATAGAAGTATCTCTTCACATTGTTTCTTCTGGCTGCCTCCAGCATATTAAACGAAATCATGGTGTTGTTATACAGAATCACGGAGTGATTCGATTGGATAAAACCCATACCACCCATATCTGCAGCCAAATTGTAAACATGGTCACAGTCCTAAAATATAAGTCAACAATCGAAAAGTTGTTCAAGTTTCCGACGACCCACCTTGGAAGCTTTCAAGCAGTTTTGAAGCTCTCTAAGGTCTACTAGCAAAAACTCATCACAAAAATCTTCCTGTTTAAAATACTCATTTTCTTTCCAGTCCGCTGCGATAACGTACTGGCCCTTTTCTTTCAACTTCTTAGCAAGATGGGAGCCGATAAAGCCTCCAGCACCTAGTTACAATAAGAATAGTTGATGTGAAAAGTGAGCAAATAAGTGAGTCTGGTACCTGTAACGAGAACACGCAACTGCTTTTGTTCTTTCGCCAAGCTCATCTCTGTCGTCTTCAACAATTCTGAGTTGTACTTATCCACAATTCCTCAAATAAGAGGTATTCGGAATAATTTTTGGCGCCAAGGCAATATTTTTTTTTCCAAATGATCCACGGCGCTACTTACAATAACCTTTTGGTATAGTGTTTGACAGAAACAAATGCGTCATTGTTTCCTACTTTGGCATACTTTATATTCTGTTCTTTTAGCAAGGGCAAAACAAATTTCAACAACATGTGCTGAGACGTGTGGTATTATCAATCCAAGATAACTTGTTTCAAACAACTCCACAATGAGAGTTCAGAAATAAAGAGTTGTCTATTTATTTCTCTGTTTCTCACAATTCTTCTATTTGCAACATTTGATTGGGCACTTTCCTATTGTGAACAGGCAAAGAATAGATTAATGAGCGAACCAGGTGGCGAAAGCCTGGAAACAGAGTCAGAAGCAAATGCTGCCCTGTTGAACAACCTTCCACAAGACAAGAAGGAGTCTGTGGAGACATTTATAAGTGTTACTCGTTGTCAGTCAGTGGAAGAAGCTGTTGATAGATTGGCAAGCGTGGGTTGGGACTTGGAACGCGCAGTTGACCTACATATCAGTGGAGAATCTTTTCCTGTTAATAGACCGCCAAATAATTCAGAGAATGGCGTACGTGAAAACCCGACAATACCACGACAAGAAATAGGTACTGGTGTGATTGAACAGACCGGTAGCAATACCGCTTCGTCGAGATCCCGCCCGTCCACTCTGTTTCAAATGACAATATCGTTCTTTTTGGCTCCTTTGAGAGCGTTAATTAAGGCTGCTGCTTCATTGCTTCGTTTTCTATTTGTTGGTCCTCGTTCGGTGAGTCGACCTCGTATAGAAGTTGCCCGAAGAGCAGCAAGAGAGTTTGCACAGCAGTTTGAAAGTGAATATGGCAGCATTCATCCCACATTCTTTCAGGGTTGTTTTTTAGATGCCTTAAATTATGCAAAACAGCAGTTCAAGGTAGGTAGACTTACATGATGTACTTTTTTATGCTTTCTCTTTATTGTAGTTTGTTATGGTGTATTTACATGCAGACCGTCACTATTTAACTCCAGATTTTTGCAGGGATGTATTGACGAATGAACAACTTGTTGGTTTTATTAACGAAAACTTTATTTTTTGGGCGTGTTCTGTGGACAGTGCAGAAGGTCGTCATTTGCAAGTTTCTTTTCGTGCTACTGATTTTCCGTATATCGCTATTGTCACAGTTGCTCAAGGAAGAAGAAATGCACAAGTTTTGGAGTCGAGGCAAGGTGCTATGGAGAGTGATGAGTTGACAGAGTTTCTTGTACAAACTTTGGAGAGACATGGGGAAATATTGAATAGTGCACGTTTGGAACAACAGCGTCATCTAGAAACAAGGCAAATTCGTGAAGAACAAGACGTTGCTTTTCAACGAGCTATAGAAGAAGATAGAGCGAGACTTGAAGCTGCAGCACAAGCGGAAGCAGCTCGTAAGGAAGAACAAGTCCGTTTAGAACGAGAGAAAGAAGAAGCGGAGTTGGAAAGAGAGCGCTTAGAAAGACGACGACAGCTCAAGTTACGAGAGATAGAAGAGGAGGCAGTGAAGGGCGATAGCGATACGGTTACTATAGCAATTAGACAGTCGGATGGTAGTCGAATGGAGAGACGGTTTAGAAAGGAGAATACTATTCGGCAAGTCTTTGATTGGGTGGATACCCGTGGCATTGATATTGATAAGATCTGTCTCGTTTGTAACTTTCCGAAACGTCGTTTTGACTACACAAAAGATGGCCATTGGAAACTCTGTGAAATAGATCAAGGACCTCATTTGGTTTTTTTTATCGAAGACAAGTAAAAGGTGATCATGTATTTTTGCTCATCGAAGTTTTTGAAGTTTTTATTCAACTCATTGAACACAAGTTACACACAAAAACAAACACAAATCACGAAAACCAGACTCGTCTTTTCCATCTTACTGATTCTAAGAATGTCTCTGATGACCAGCTCTTTGTCTACTCCACTTTTACATTCATACCCAAGGCACGCTGCAAATGTGGTCGAATACGAGGAGGACATCGATCTGTCAACTGTTTCAAATGTTGTTGAACTTTTTGACGTAGAGGCTTCACAACCTATCCACAAATGATTATGATATTGGGTTACAGACTCGGTTTCTCAATGACCAACCTCATAAATACGAGTTTTGACCAACACAACAAACTCATCAATCTCCTTATTGAAGTGTTCGTAAATAACTGGAACAGTAAATGTATACAAGAAAACAAGATATCCCAGAGTTGAAGTACTAATCAATCTGCCTAACAACGAAAGGAAATAGAAAAACGCCAATAATTTCAAAGTAAACATATTATCTACGCAAAACAAAGCAATCTTGACTTGATCTATTGAGCTGTTGATCAATTGGCTACTTGTTTCCAAGTATTTGGACAATGACTCTTTGGTTACATATGGTTTTCCAAGTGTAGGAGTCCCAACAAAATCTGGACCTAGAAAACCAACAAATAACTTTGAAAAGTTGACATACACAAATGAAAGAGCCAATTGAATCATAAACGCATATGAAAGCACCGATATTACTGATTTTTTCCCGACGGTGATGGCAAGAAAGAATATGTTGCCAACTACAAATACAACTGTCGAAACGAACATATTTCTCCAATAAATGAGTTCAGCAGCTACAAAACACTTTTAAGCTCTTATGAAAAACAAGTCTATTACGGGAACCCCAAATCTCATTGGAGACCACAACCCTACCTCTGCCTGAAATAAAAGATGGAGCCAGCGGTATGGGAGTCATTTTAGGAGCAGAACTTGTAGTACTGTATTCTCCAAAAATGTCAGAACTGCCTTTTGCACTTACTCTCTTTGTAAGTTGGTCGTCGGTTGACGGAGACTGTCCACCAAGAAGGTCATCAACAGTAGGAGAAGAACTGGTGGGTTGGTTAGCAGAGTGATTAAAACTAGAACTTTCACTTTCAGGATCTGCCATTTGCTAAAAGATATTAAAAGTAATGGACACAAGTTGGCAACCACAGTAATGCCAAAACAACAAAGAAATGAAAACACAATTTAAAAGGAAAATGAAACGCTATTTCCCCCAAAAAACAACTACTAAAGTATATACAAGTTCTAATAAGAATCTTCTTCCACTTGAGGTGTAGAAAGCATAAAATATGCCATGTTCACTATTTCATTGCAAGTTGCTTCATCAAGTTGTTTGCCTTCCATACTAGTCACATGAAAGACGTCTTGACGAGTATTTCCTTGAGAAGAAACACAAGCCAAAGATGCGAAAGAAACATTCAACTCCAAATAAGCCAAATTGGCAAGAAATTGAGATACAATACCGGGAATATTAGGAGCTGTCAAAGTCACTGTTGTATATAATGGACTTGATGAATTATCTGTTACAACTGCTATACCACGTTCATGATCAACATACTTGTTTCTATTCTGCACATAAACTTTCTTTCCTGCCAAAGGAACCCAATTTATCGTAGTATTCGCACCCTTTTTGCTTTCAAGCGTCTGTGTGATTATGTGTTCAATCTATTTGACACAATTAGAACTTCAGTGATGGACATTTTCCCAAGTATTACCTTTTCAAAATCTTCTTCTGCTATTTTAGAACCGCTATCCGTTACAAAGAAAGTGTCTAACGCTAATTGACTTTCTGTTTTTACCAAGGCTCGTTCTACTGTTATTCCAGCCGTCTCTAGGCAATAAGTCAAGTCTTTCAATAGACCTGGCCTATCTTTACACCTGACAGAAATAATACTGTGATAAAAGTCCTTTTCGTTGTCAATAACAATTTTAGTTTCCAAAGCCTCTGCATTGTGATACAAAGTATCTGCCACTCCAGTTTGTCTTTCAGAAGCCTTTTTAAGAGGCACATCTACACAGGCAACGCTTCTATTCACCTTCCAAATAATAGGTTTGACTTGGTAAAGACTATACTTGCAAGGTCCTAGACTAAAACTACGTTGTTTTTGAAAACAAGAGAGTTGAAGGAAATGCTAGCGCGCGAATAATAAAACCTTGAAAGTTTCAAAAAACCCTCACCCACCTTGAAACCCAAAGATGGAACAAATAGCAAAGACATGATGAATATATCCGTATTTTCCAAATACCCAAAAAGGGATGTATTTTGTGAAAAGGAAGAGAGGGGGATACCGATCTATTTATTTATGGGCACTAATCCAGTCGACGAGTGTAAGTAAGATATATATTATCTGCGACTCATATTTGTTGAGTTCCAGTAGTAGTCTTACTAATTTATGTACCGACTATTTAGCAGCGGATTGCCACAAAGACAAGACACTGACTCTTAGTCGGAGAAGACAACAAAGTGACTAGTGAGAGCTTTTCATATTACAACTAGGACTATCAAAAGTTACGACTGGGCTTTATTCCATTATATCACGTGTTCCATACAATGTCCATAAAGTTCTTTTTTCTTTTTTAAACCACAATAGCCTTGTTCTTCCCAACCACCACCAATCGGAGTCGTCCTCCCACAATCGGCCGTCGATATATATATATATTAATAATGGACACTTAACATCTTGAAAATCAGAATGCTTTCGTCTAAAAGTGTTATAACAGGTTTGAAGTCCCATATTTTCAAGAGCTATTGAAGATTTCAAATGTCCTGTTCCTATTACAACTTCCAACATGAAATGTGCTTAAGAAAGATACTATTAGAGTTATTTAGGGCCACCATGAGCTTCTTATTTTTTTTTGAAAATGAATTATCAGCCCATTGATGAAGACTTACCCACAGGTATTCATCCTTATCAATACTCTAAAAACGACAAAGATAAACAAACAGGAGATTATCAAACTTATGTACCTGGACTGGATACTAGAAATGTTTCCACAGAGGACGTAGAGAAAGGAAGTGCTAGTTCTAGTTCAAGGCCGTGGTTGAAGGAAGCACTCAACTCCATCCCAAACCAAGACTTTGCGGTGTATACTGCTCCACTTCAACTCTTTTCAGATCTGACACTACAAGACAGGCTATTGCAAATATGGGGTTGTGCTCGTCCTTGGTCTGAATTTTTTGATATTCGAAAGTTTCGTTTCCCCACTCAAGGAGAGAACGGTGTTGCTAGAGTGAAGACTAATTTGGAAAATTTCTTTTACAATTACCTTATCAGCTGTTGTTGTTTTCTATTTGTGTTTCTCTTTGTTCACCCTATTCAAGTATTCTCTTTGATGGTCTGTATCTTGATAGCTGTCTATTTCTTTCTATGGAAACAGGAGCCTATTGTTATTACGAATGCGGTTCATTTGGATATGAATGGCAAACTAGTTGTATTAGGAGTGACTGTCTTATTAGGACTTTTATTGGGTCATATGGCTACTATACTATTCAATTTTACACTTTATATTACGGTTGTAGTTTTGTTACATGCATTCTTAAGGGAAAATCATATAGAAGGATGAAAGTTTCCTATGTTAGATATGAATATATAAATACGGTTTGAACTATTGTTTATTATTCCAGAAGAATATTGTCATAGCGACCACAATAATGAATAAAAGAGAGCCAACAGGAATACACAAAATGGTAACAATAGCCAGTATACATTTGTCATTGAGTCATTTCGTTGCGGAAATATTTCAAATATCCTCAAATAACCATCGGCACAAGTCACCAGCAACGTTGCTATAGATGACTTGGAGTTTTTCTGATGAGAGGTTGACCAACTCAAACCAGTCACTGGCAAAAATTGCAACGGATGTTTTCTATAAAAGCGATAAAGTGATAGATTTGAAACTTGTGTCGTATTGATAAGAGATAACCATCCTTGAGTGGAGATATTGTCTTTTTCAATGATAACTAATGAGCTTGTTCTTTTGGGTTCACTTGCGTCTCTCAAAAGACCTTGAACTTGATAGGGATTGTGAATCCAAATCATAACATCTCCTTCATTGGTACCCACTGCAATGTATTCAAGTCCTGATACAGAACATGTCGACATAAAAGTAACAGGATCACGTGAGACCTTTCTACAAAATAAGGGTTGCCAAGTATCCATTCTCCAACCACTTATAAAAGAACCGCTATCCAATGAGACATCGACAGTATATAATAAACCGGGTTCAACAACAGAAACACATGAAAACTGACAACAACGAAAGTGAGCTTTGATACCATAACGACGTACCGGTGGACTATCCAAAGTGATAATCTTGGCACCAGTTCGACTATTCCAAACACAACAGCTGCGGTCCAAAGAAACGCTGACAAGAAGAGAACCGTCTTGTGAGAAATGGATATCAGCTACACTCTTCTGATGCACCAACACCGTCTGAGGAGGTCGACAATCCGTCCAGGTTGAATCTAAAGAATATATTCTAATACGGCCTTCATCATTGCCCACCGCCAATAGATTGGATACGACACTACAAGAAACAATTGTCTATTTTAAAGTAAAAAATTCTTCGCCGACAACAAAACCTCAACTACCTGCCGAACTTGCAAATTGCTGTCAGGTTGAAACTTGTTTTGCCAACACAAAGTATTCCTACAGAGTTTTATGTAAATCAATCCTACATTCATTTCATGTACTATTCTTCAACATACTCTTTTGTGACTGAAAAGAAGCAAATGTCTGGACCCACGACGACACAAAGATAATTCTAATAAAAGATCAACTGAAGTCAACTATGAAACTTGAAATTTTACCTTGAAGACACAAGCACTAGTTGGAACATCAACTAATTGCTTTTCATCGACAATCATACAACGGTCATCTCTCCAATCTACTACTTTCTTTTCGAGAAGCCCTGGTCAAATGCTTCTTGTATGAGGAAAACTAGACAACTTACTATATAGTTAGGTACACCAGTCTGAGCAGCACCACCACCACCACCAACAAAGAAATAGTGGTCTTTTCCCAAGAACTTCTCACAAAAGTAGAGTGGAAAGCCCAAGTTCTCTATAAAAGCAGGAATCCACATGAACCTTTTTGACTAGACAATTTTATCGACCTCTCATTGCAGTGGAGGTTGCTTTATTCTGTTCTAGAAAACGAACAAGTCTTTCAAAAATGATAGGCAAATCTTCTTTTCTCAATAGTATTTGATCATCTTTAGGAACTGTTACGGAAAGTTCATCTTTGCTGGTAGAAATGATATACTGAAGTCCACTCCATAGTAGAGAAGCTCGATTAACGTTAACCGGCACCCTCCCACTACTACCGCCACTTGGCTATAAATAAAAGTCAAAACTTTTTTCCAGCTGTTAAAAAAAATTCTACCTTGTCTTTGTTTGTTGTTGCTGGCCCTCCGACGTTTGGAGATTTCATATAGTGACCAAGATTCTTCAAAAGAATAGACTTGGGCGACTCTTCACAGCCTACTTCGAAGCCACAAAACATTACACGTTCTTTCTTTCATTATGTTCCTATCAGACTGGAATGAATTCCTTTTGTTTAGCTGCTCACTTACCTCTTTTATGATGGGTAGAGATATTTCGAATCGAAACAAAGAAGACCAAGAAATGAAACATCGATTGCCAAGCAACATGAGACATGCAACTATAAAACAAATATGGTCTAAGAGTATGTCTAAATAATGGTCCATATGATTCGGGCTCCAGGACAAGACTTCTTCCAAAAGTTCACATGCATCTTTGGAGAACTGTGTGAGCGGAAAAATTTGGATGGTTGGCAAAGGCAACTCATGCTGTATGCTCTGTGATAACATTCGTTGACGTTGCAATTTGGCTTCAGTCGAATTCACTTTGTTATTAGCCTTGAAATCAGCAATAGTCCTTCCTTCTCCTTTCACTTGTTCAGTACCAATCATCATCGAACGGGAAGTATGTTGACGTCTCAAGTCAACCCTGATATATACTGAAGGGATTTGCTTCATTAGCCCTGTACTTGCACTGGACAAAGTTATATTCTTACACAATGGCCTGCTCACGACCACTAATTCTCGCCAATTCTTCCACACTAAATCCATAAACTGACTTGGGTAAGCAGATATTCTTCTAATAAGTTTAGACATCTGTTGAGCGATAAAAATATCTCCAGTAACGCGTCTCAAACATACATGACCGTGTGCGTATGTCAGTATTAGACTGGCTTTCAAGTTTTGTCCCCCAAAGTGCCATAAACGAACACCTTGATTCTCCGGCCATGGCACCTCGGAAAAGCGTCGTAATAAACGCTTCCAACTTAAGCCATAACCTTCATCTAATAACGAAAAAGCCAAGTCGAACCAAATCCTACGAATACCCGAGCTACTGTTATAAAATACTCCCTTTTCCGCAGGGATACTTAATGGCCTCATTACATGAATGTTTCGCATGCTGTTTTCTTCTACAGGATATGAAAAGCCATTATGGCAATTATCCTTTACATTGCTATCAAACAGCTGTTGTTGAAAACTCCATTCTAATGGAGCAACTTCCAAGACCGTCTCTAGTTCACGTTGTCTTTTTCTTGTCTCTATGATTGCCAACCATCGAGCACCCAAACAAGCATTTAAACTGTGAGTTAGCAACCAACTACTATGAAAATCCTTTTGATAGACAAAGAAAAGATTATATGGAGTCAAAGTGTCGCAGTAAAACTCATAACCTTCGCTTCTAAGAGAGCGCTTACTTTCATTTGTTCCAAACCAACCAATCGGGGAGAGTGCTATACATGTATCTAAGTCTGCATAACAAGATAATCCATATTTATCCCACACTGCGTTCATCAGCTTTTCATTGAGAGACCGTGGAGTGAAATAATCTTCCTTTATCACCAAAGAGACTGCTTTCGTTTGACAATACGTGGAAGTTCTCACAATACACTTTTGATGATCAATGATAAACTGCACAATACCAGAGTAGTCCATGGAAGAGAATTCTGTATATCCAGTAGAACGACGTTTATCCTTAATCCAAGCATATCCTTCGTACGTATAGCAGCAAAGCTTTCCCGAAATCAGACTCATTTGTATTCGAATGACAAGACTTTTTGAAATCTCAACTATTAGATAGGCTACTTTGACAGCCTCTTCTCTATCACCAAGATAAACGCTCTCATACTCAAGAGAAATTTGTTTCGCATCCAATTCCTGACCTTGTCGACTTGTAAGGTCATCCTTCAGTCTTTCCAACAGAAATTGACACTTGAAAGCTAACAACTGAAATAAAATAGATTCAATGGAAATTTTTTGAACAGAAATGTCTAGTATTTGCTCTGATATTGTCTTTGACAATATTTTGGTGGATTTCTTGTTCATAACAACCTGACGAAGAAGTGAGTCTTTGGAGGAATCAGACCTTTGCTTCGAATCCATCAGACTCATGTATATACAAAAAGGCCATCTCCTTACAACGAAAATAGAACAACCATTCTGATATTCCACAATTTGTTGTGATATATTCTCATCCTTCATATCATCATCTTCTTTCAATGAAGAAATCCTAATTTCGGTACAACTCGATAGTGGATCTTCCCAAAACCTTAATAAAACTGCATCTATATCCTTTTGAATTTTGAAAAGGAACAAAGGATTCTTAGAAAGTCTAAATGCCTGAAGTCTTAAGATATCCAATGCCAAAGGAACACAGATCTTTTCTTCCAAAAACTTTCCCGATTCTGCAATTGCTTGAGAGATATACAATCTAGACTCTTCTTCTGAACCACAATTCTGTTCCAATATGTGTTGACAGATTCCACGCAAATATGATTCTTGTTCCTTCGACAGTACAGACTGTGAAACTTGATTACTTTGTCGATCTGTAGTTCCTCCAAGTGAAGCACCTCTAATATACACTCGGACTTGAAGCAGTTTCCAACTAAAGTGATCACCAATCCTTGTCGCCATTAACACCAAAGACCAACCGCCACGCCTATTACCAACTTCAACAGCCTGTTCCCTTTGTTTGTCCTTCCAATTAAAGATACGCAAGTCATTCTCCTTTGAAAGACAAGACTGGAGAAGAGCTCTGGAAACAAGACCCATCCAATCATTGTTCTGCATAACGCTGGGAGAAGTTTTGCCTTCATCTAAAGATAGGAGGAATTCCTTGCTTACAAAATTCCTATAAACGATACTTGGTAGTCTAGAGTAGCCCCCAGTAGTGAGAATTTCCGTGGCGCTTTGAATGGGTATCAGCGGAAGACAAGCGTCGCTAAGTTTATTGTGCACTGTCCAAAGTCCATCTGCCGACGATTCATACAAAGCCAATAAACTCGAGGATTCGGCAATCTTCTCTTCACAAAACTCATCAGCTCCTCCATATCGACAATACCACTTTAACAAGACTAACAAACGTGTAAACCGATAACTAATGAAAGTGAGTAAGAAAAAATTTTACTTTTTGGCGCAAAACTTACCGCTCTGACAACAAAAACTCATATAACAACACCTTAGCTACAGTACCTTCTTCGTCCAGGCAGTTTTCCACAAGTTTCTGTAATTCCTTGTAACAGTTTCTTGTAGTGTATCGAATTAGTCTTGCTAAGGAAACCTTGGGTATGAGTTGGTCATTCATAACAGTCTTCTATGTTGCAGACCAACAATAACTGAAGTTCCCATTTCTGGGAAAAGCAATCAAAAATGTGAAAAGTGGAAAAGTCTTATGCACATTTTAGAAGATTTTGTTATATTCCAAACCAGAATTCTTTTATATATAGTTATTGAGACTAGTAAACTTTTGACGTTTTCATGTCCTGTAGACTTGATCTGTAGAAACTCAAAAACTCGGTAGAAATAAGATTTAAGATTGGTTTGGGCAACTTATGGAATGCAACTGGCAAAGTGTAGTTGAACTTTCACAAGAACTTCAAAGTGGCAAAATAACTTGCAAGGAACTAGTGGAGGCCTGTTGGAGGAGGATACAAGAGAGAGAAGAACAAATTCACGCTTGGGCTTTCTTGAACGACAAGGAAACCCTGCTCCAAGAAGCACAAGTACTTGACACTGAGTTGCAGAGTTGCTCAGAGCAGTCTGCCTCTGGATATCGCGGAAGAAGCTGGATACATGGAATTCCAGTAGCATTGAAGGATATTGTTGAAACAGAAGATATGCCAACTAACTATGGGTGTTCACCAGAATATATTTCAAACAAGCAGCGAACAATTGCTCATAAAAAGACAAAGGATGCAGATCTTGTTAAACGATTGAAAAAAGCTGGAGCTATAATTTTAGGCAAAACAGTATCCACAGAATTTGGAGTTTCTATGGATGCTCCTGTTACGAGAAATCCCAATAATATATCTTTTTCACCAGGAGGTTCATCTAGTGGCTCTGCAGCTGCAGTTGCAGACGGAATGGTTCCTTTTGCCTTTGGAGCTCAAACTGCAGGTTCAGTTATTCGACCCGCAGCATTTTGTGGAATATTTGGCTACAAAACCAGCTATGAAAAACTCCCACTTGACGGTATTCGTCCAGTCGCACCTTCTATCGATGCCTTGGGTGTTTTCGTGAGGAGTTTAGAAGATATACCTATTATTATGAAGAGCATTGGAGCTTGGAATGAAGAAGGAATTGATACGGTACTTGAAGATACTTCATTCTCTAGTCAGGTTACCACTCTAACAAGAGACAATTTGCTCCTCGCCTTTTGTAAAACTCCTTTTTGGGACAGTCTTCCTGAGTATTATACCAAAGCTATTCTGAGGACAGTAGATCAATTGAGAGTGCAAGCTAAAGTACGGGATCTTGTTTTACCAGAACCTTTTGTCACTGTTTTCGAAAATCACAGTCATGTTATGCTTTGGGAGGTGACTCAAGTGTTTCGCGAGTTGGAGCAGCTCGAAAAAGACAATAGATGGCCTGCAGGCGCTACAGTTGGTCAATTTGTTCGTTCTATTCCACAACTTGCTCACAACTATGGAGAAGATGCCTATCGATGTGTCTTAAGAACAGCATCTTTGCTAAGACAAGTAATGAAGCGTCCAGCAGAAGAGGGAGATGGATTGTTGTACAGGAATGAATTGATTCTTTGTCCTTCTACGTCAGGCGAAGCTCCTCCCGTTTCACAAGAGGCAGTGGATTCCTTGGAAAGTTCAGGTACACTATCCCCAGTACTTGGTTCTCAAAGGGCTTCTTTTGGAGGCAAACCTGGCACTACAGGAGACTCTCTATTTCAAAGAGGCTGGACACTCTTACACTGTCCAGCTATCAATATTCCTATCGGTAGAGGACCGAGAGGCCTTCCTATTGGAATTCAGCTTGTTGCACCTGCTGGAGAAGACGAACATTTGGTACATTCGGCACAAGTGTTGACAACTTTATTAATGCGAAAATGATTTTTCCCTCCTACTATATATACGATGATACATACTAGCAACCTTTTCCTTGTATGTAGAGATAGCTTGAAATATTTGATATAAACACTTATTCCAAAAAGAGGAAATGGTTCAAGTTGGGAAAAAAGACACTCTATACCAAAGAGAACGAGGTGACATAACTGCCAATGTCGAAATCTTTTGATAGACTAACATATACATTCAAAAGAAATGGAAGTTATTGCGGTCTTTGTGGAACGGGACTTTTCACAACAAGGTTACCGAACTCTTCCAACTTTCCTCCTTCAACTAAATACGCCATGGCCTTGGCTTCATAAGCAATGTTCGTGTCTCCTGTTTTCTCGAAATAAGTGGCAAACAGTAGCCAATCCAAACCATTCTCCATTTCATTCAGAGTCTTCCTCAAGGCCATATAATATTCCTAGATAAAGTATTCTGAGATGCATATAGAAAACTTAACTGGGGTACATACCACCAACGTGGGATCCCAAATAAGATCTACTACGTGATCAATGTCAGCATAGGTTGCATTCAAGTCATAAGCAAAGTCCCAATTTCCATATTCGAGGGACATGTAGATGAACATTCCATTGAAGCCGGCAATAAAATAACCAAATTTTTTCAACGCTAACTTCGCCCTCGGAGAGGCAAACAAATCCCTGTAAAACTCTACTCTTGTCGAATATTTTTCAATACGTTGTTTTATATCTTCCCAAAACGAGGCAGAACTCCTTCTGATACTAGGAAACAGTCTAGGATCCGAAACCTCTGTTATAAGTGGAACCAATTTACGAGAATTATTTGTGTCTCGAGTCAAAGAAAAAAACTTCTCAGAGAGTCCACGACGAAAATAGCTGCTTTTGGGAATTTTCAGTTGTTCAACAACTTGCAAGCCTACTCTAACAAGTCTCCACATCTTTCGGCCTCCAACACATTCTCATAAGATAATGGGATTATTTGGAACCGAGCTCATGTAATATTTCGTTCGAGTGACGACTCGGTTTATATATAAGAATAGAAACTTTTTGTTTATTGATATACAAAACCTGCAAAAAGAGAAAGGTTTCCAAAGGTGATATGTCATTCAATGAATGCGAAAGAAAGCAGATACAACTATCATTCCTCTTCTACTCACATTATCATGATTCTCAACCTTGATACAGCATATAAAACAAATTCAGCTTTGTCATTTCAACAAGCTCTATAATCGATAGTGGGTATGAAATTATTTCAGAGGAAGAAATGATGAAAACTACGAGAATTATCAGATGCGGAAAAATTCTCAATCGAACAATCTGAGTTGAAATTTCTACGCCTAGTTCCAGATAGATTGTAGTAGTTTTATACCCGTTTTGGAATTTCTTTGCTTTGTTACAAGTATTTGTGGAAACATGAAGATTCGCGCTGCAGTTTTGGAACAAATGGGGAAACCTTTGCCATATTCTGTTTCCAAGCCACTTACCATAGAAGAGTTGACTTTGGAAGAACCAGAACAGGATGAAGTACTTGTGAAGATGTGGTATGTTGGACTTTGCCACTCAGATCTGTCTGTTATCAACGGTAGCAGACCCAGACCAACACCCATGGTTTTGGGTCACGAAGCTATGGGTCAAGTACTTCAAATAGGTCCTGGTGTTGATAACGTAAGAGTAGGAGACTTGGTATCTTGTATTTTCGTACCTGGTTGCGGACAATGCGAAGGTTGTCGTATTGGTAGACCTACCACTTGTATTCCAGGAGCAGAAGCCAATAGGCGAGGCATGCTTCTATGTGGAAAGACGCATTTGTTTCGTACCAGAGATACAGGGAGACAGCCAGTCTATCATATGGGTGGAACTTCAGGTTTTGCTACTCACGCGGTCCTTTCGAAACATTCAGTCATACAAGTCGATCCAAGTATGCCACCCCAGTGTGCAGCGTTACTCGGTTGTGGTGTTATTACTGGTGTAGGTGCAGTAACAAACTCTGCAAAAGTTGCCTTTGGATCGAGTGTTGCCATAGTAGGTTTAGGTGGTGTAGGATTGTGCGGCCTGTTGGGAGCAAAGGCTTGCGGTGCCAGTTTGATTCTTGCAATAGATTTGGAAGAACGAAAACTGGCGAAAGCGAAGGAATTTGGTGCGACGCATACCTATCTAGTCCAAAAGAATGATTCTCTATCGAAAACGGTGGAGAATATTCGCCAAATGATTGGCCCATTTGCCGGAGCAGTAGATTATGCAATAGAAATGGCTGGTAATGGACCCGCCCTACAAATTGCCTACGGGATTACTAAGCCGGGTGGAACGACTGTTACCATTGGCTTGCCTGACCCAGAAGTTGACTTGAGTATACAGCAAGTTTCAATAACAGCAGAAGAACGCACTCTCATTGGTTCCTATTTGGGAAGTGGTGTTGCTATTCGAGACCTCCCTAGATATGTAGAACTTTATAAGAAAGGTGCTCTGCCACTGGAGAAGTTAATCTCCGGAACAATCCAACTTAGTCAGATAAACGAAGGATTCGATATGTTGGAAAGAGGTGAAGTTATCCGGTTAATGGTTAATTTGAAGGACGAGAAGTGACCATTTGTCCAATGCAAGAACAAGTGATATAGAGTGTAAAAAAACTTTTTACCTTGTTCTTAAGTATAAAATATGTTCCTAGAGTCAAACTTTATACTGGTAAAGGGTCAAGAGAAATTTCAAGCATCGAGAAGTATGGAAAAAAGGCAAACTACTTTTCCTCAACTATCGGTCATGTTACAATGGCAGGGCTATGTAGTAAATGAAGCCATGACACAGTGTGATATATATATATATATATATATATATATATAGAGAGAGAGAGAGAGAGAGAGAGAAAAGTAAGGAAAGGATTAAAGCATTGAATATAATCGATCCACAAGGGGCCCGCCCAATCTTGAATTTAAAATTGGATGGAACCATCAAATCCAGAGTTGGACTTTGTAGTTTCTTGGAAGTTGACGGTCTGACGTTGTATGTGTTATTACTTTAATATATAGAAGTTTTCGGTTGAATGAAATTTTTTTAACTCCAAAACTCTGGAAACTACTACTTCTCATGGATGAGAAGTTTAGGAATAGGTCAACGGGAGAATTTGCAACAAGTCATCGTTGTCTTAATATTGAGTGTGGATGTGTTAAAAAAGTGAATTCAAAAAAGAGAAATAATTGTAATGAGTCAAATCCAAGGCTGAAAAGAATAGCTCTAAATGACATTACTAACTTCAGTCGCTCACCTGCAAAGTTCAGGTCAAACGACAATGCTGTGTATGAACAAGCTGAAATAAGTTTTTGCCAGCAAGTCTCTTCAAAAGCAACAAGAAATGACGACAACGCCAAGCTGCTGAGCGTTTTCGGTCGTTGGATTCAAAAGGATGGTGCATTACCTAGGCCGGATTATTTTGAAGTGGTTCAGAAAAGCAAACAAGGCCCATTCACAAGAGAGATGGTTGCAAAATGGTTCTTTCGCGTTGTAGAAGATTTGAAACTTTCATACAATACTGCCTTCCTTGCAATTGGTTATTTTGATCGCTTTCTATCAAAGGTGAAAGTGAAAATCCAGTTTATACCAGTACTATCTCGCGCTTGTCTTTTTGTAGCTGCCAAATTCATGGAATGCAATCCCCCTTCTTCAAAGCAACTACTTTGTCGTAGCAAATTAGGTACAAGATAATGTCTTGAACGAAAATGACTTGTTCCTCATTCTATTTAGGATTCGGTGATGAGCTTTGTCTACTACTTAAATTTGAAATTTTATTATTACAAGTTCTTAAATGGGAACTCGCCATTCCTAGCGCATATGACATCCTTTGTGCATGCATTGAATATTTTCAAGCTAATGATAACTGCTGGGCAGTACATGCTTCCACTTTGCTACAAATTTATATCACAGGTGAGAATTTCTTTCAAGTGGCTGGAAAATTTGTTCTTAATACGTATCTTATTCTGACATAGAGTATTCTATGCTTAGACTTTCACCCTCTACTTTGGCAGTTTGTTCCGTTGCGATGGCTCTCCGTAGAAAGCAATTTCGTTCTGCCTTTGTAGAAGACGGAAGTTTCTCCAAGGCTAGTCTGACTTCCGAAATAGAGAAAATCTCTGTCATTCTAAATGTCAAACCGACGCAATTGGATGAATTTGAAAGTCTATTGAAAACAGTCTCTAGAAAAATCTTACGTAACAACGATTTAGATGAAAGTATCACCAGTCCAACAAGCATAACTGATACAGCCAATTCAATTGAACGAGAAAAATGAATAGTTTTACTAGCAATAGTGTCAGATGAGAAGACATTTAGTCCCCGATGTGAGTCTCGTTTCTTGTTTCTCATTCTCAAACAGATAAACAGGAAGTGATTGAGAAAATTCAAAACTTTATAGGTATTCTAAAACTGCTGCAAAGTCCCTAGTAAAGAATATACACATCACTATCAAGTTTTTAGAAAACTCCACAGACTCCCTGATTCGTATCGTATTTTACCAAAGCACTTCCAAGGTGTCGCATGTTTTTCACTTCTCATCAGCTTGTTTCTCAACCGAGATTTTGGCAAACTCATCTTTAAGCGCATTAATATCTTCATTCCTCGAATGATTACGAGTTTCTAATGTCGCATCCACGTCGGCATCAACAGAGTTATTCAAGCTAATATCATCTTCGTCCTCTTCTTCATATTCTTCAGTTTCTTCCTCTTCCGATTCATTGTCACTAAAGGATACAGTCAATTCTGTTCTATTTATCTGAGACAATGCATCCTCAAGTTCTTCGACAACAACTTGCTTTATCCAATTTCCAGAAAGGTTAACGTTCCTTAATGATACAAGCTTAATTAAGACACTAAACAAGGCCTTTGCACCGGCAGTTCCAATAGAATTTTCTGCAAGATTCAACTCAACCAGTCGAGAGTGAGCACCGGAAGAAAGAGCTTTGGCTAACATGGCCACACCCTTAGACCCAATGTCATTCTCTTCAACTAGTAAGCGTTCTAAGCAAGTTTGCTGCTCAACAAGTTTGGCCAAATTTTTGCAAGATTCAGCAGTAAGTTCGTTGCAAGAAATGTCAAGAACCTTGAGACGAATTTCGCTTCTTTCCAAGCACTGCAAGATTGTTGTGGCGCCCTTATCACCCAACGAAGTATCACGAAGAATCAGAGTTTCTAAATTTGAGAGTAAAGGAAACATTCGACCAAGACAATTAGCTCCTCTATTTGCCAATATGTTATCTGAAAGGTCGAGGACTCTCAGAAGAGTAGTATTTTTCAAGGCTCGTATAACAGGTTCGATACCTTCCTCCCCAACTCGAAGTGAGGCAAGCTTCAAATCTTCCAATTCCGGAGAAAATTCTAACAAAGGCACTACGTTTTTTGCACCTTCTGATTCCATCAGATTATTGAAGAAGTGAATAGTCTTGAGACTTGTAGGACCTCCACCTTCCAACAAGTAACTCACCAGCAGTTGAATAGCGTCTGCAGCTAGACCGTTGTTACAAAAACGGATAACTTGGAGTTTCTTCTGCTGCCTTAGAATTTTTTTGCAAGCCTCTATTCCCTTTGCGCCCAACGCATTATCGCTCAGGTCCAGTTCATAAAGTTGGTCACTTTCCAGCGACGAACTCAAAACTCTTAGCACACCGTGTCCCTCTTCCTCCTTTCTTCCTGCTATCACATCTGCAAAAGAGACTACTCTCAGATTGACCAAAGTTGGTAGAATTTCGGCAGCCAGTTGTGCCGCTTCCAAGTCAAAACTTTTCCCACCAAGCCTTACTTCCACCACTTCATTCTTATCAACCTTTTGAAAGTATTCACTAAAAATTTTCTCAAGTTTCTCTTCGGAAATTCTTTCTCTATAGTTGTCAAAACAAAAGACCTTTCCACTTGATAGATTCATAAAATTCACACACATAAAGAAAAGCCCATCAATTCTTTCTGTCGACGTAAATAAAATGTCTTTTCAAGCCAAAAACGCGCCCTCATGTATTATCAGGGTTCTATGAAATAAAAGGATGGATGATTTTATCTGATTGATACTTTCATATATTTCTTTGATATTGACACCAAAGTCTTGTTAGATTCTATACTTTTAGAGGAAGTGGTCTTAAAAATGTGCATTATGGCAGTAGGAAACCTTGGTTTAAAGAGTTTATTGCTCTGGAAGGGATAAATCACTTTTGCCATTAATTGGATTTTTTTTATTTGGGCATGCAAGATCCTTGTGATACAGAGCTAGTCTTGGAAGAGTTCAAGCCAGTCCAAAGGTTTCTCTCGTTTCCGAGAGTTCGAAAATGGCTCTTCCATAATGTCCCCGAAGAAGGTTTCTTTGTGGAAGGGTTTAAGAAGTCTTGTGTTGCAGTCGAAATGCACCCTCCTCGACTGGATGATGTCAAGTCCAAACGAGACGGACGAAACTTACGTGTCCAACTTCATTCCAGTTCAAATGGCGAAAACTGCCTAAAGTTATTAGTTCCTAGTCATTTTGAGGATGGATTTCTTTTCAACTTTGTAGGTTGAACAGCTTGAACGAACTGTACTTTTACCAACCCAAATTGCACTAGGTCTTTGGCGAATTGTACCTTGTAAGTCCGTCACGTTACGTGCGACGTGAGTTTGAACCCTTTTGTAAACGATCTGTTTATGATATTGAAAGTGGAGAAGTTCTTGAGGTATGTTTGGGAGTATGTTTTGTGGAATATTGAACACCCTATTATTGCGTAGTGTATTTGGTACCAAAACGGAATTGTGGTTCTCAATTATGCCAGATTTCTGACGCTTTGCCAGCAATTCTATCATGCTTTCATATTTGCTGCCAATTATGAAGACAGAACCCCAGGAAAGTTTCTGGAAAGTACGAAGCTTATTTTAGAACGTGCTGTTTGTGGTTTTTGTGGGTTGCCTGGTTCACATTGTCGTTGTCATAAACGATTCAATGAGTTGGTCACCAAACACTCGTTTATTTCATCTCTATCTACCGGTGCAAGTCTTTCGTTGGAGATTCCTTTTGACATTTTAAGGGCCATTCATTTTGGAAACTTTCGCTGTAGTTTAAGACATTATGGTGGAAAGCATTATTCTTCTCTTGGTTTAAAATTTGACCCATTATCTTGTCCACAGTTGGAAGTCTCTATCTCTTCTGAGATGGTTGTAAGAGAAATGCCGAAACCAACGTTTGCATTCTTATCGCATCGAATGGTTCAATTATTATTAGCTTCATTAGGCATTTCAAGATTATTACAGTCAAGTTCATCTACTTTTTCGCATAGCAGCAGTTTAAAACAGACGAATAATGACGCAGAGTTGGAGATCCCTGTAGTTTCCGAGGCTGCCAGGAATCGTAAGATGAGAAGAGAAGTATTATTAGCAAGAAGACAAAAGAGAGAAAGAGGGAAGAAGAGTAAACGGAAAGATGAAAATAGTTCTTCACTTCAAACATCATTTCCTGTATCTTATTTAGAGTCAGTCAATGATGAAGAGAATTCTTTCAGTCTAAAAGTTCGAATGCCATTTGAGGATAAGAAGTTGAGAAAAAAGATTCGTAATCGTGAATATGCGAGAGAGTCATACAATAGGCGAAAGGTATGGATGATTTCTGCAATATGATTGTATTGATTGCTCTGTGAATAGGCACGTCTAGATCAGTTGGAAGCCGAAAACCAATCCTTGAAAATGGAGAATGAGATGCTCGTTCGTGAGTTGGATCGACTTCGAATGGAGAACGAACGTTTACGCATGGTTTGCAATGAAGATAGAAATTTTTCCGACTTATTTCCGTTCTCCTCAGAAGATACGGAATATCTTTGAAGACTTTTATGAAAAATTTCCCTATTTCGTAGTTCTCTTTCTTTTATGTGGATTATTATTATTATTATTACCGTAGAAAACTGAAAGTATCTTGTTCTGTTGGTTGGATGTTAGATATTGTCTTACATATGACTCGATATTGAATTTTCTTCTCAATCCTTCTGCAGACATATATCTCAACTTGCCAGTAATAGGACGCTCCATATGAGCTCTATCATGCTATATATCAATGTAAGACAATCTCTTTTTTTCCAAAGAAGAAATCATACTTTTCCAAAACACCAAGCAACTCCTGTAAAGCTGTTGGGGTCTCTTCCATCCAACTCGTATTTATTATTCAAATAAAGCAATATTCGAAATGCCTCTTCAGGATTTGTTGTCCACTCAATGACCTTCTTTCCCCAGTACATACTTTTCTCTCACACTTAATAACAAATATACTTCTCAATCCTATTACGTACCGCATATAATTGTGCATCTTTCCTGTTTGCACCATTTCAAGTTGTGCTGCATTCCAATAGGGGTCGTGAGTAACTGCTGTTTCCAACTGCTCCAAAGTATAAGAAAACTGTCTCGGGTCTTTGGAGTGTTCACTCATGGTCTGTTTGGCCCAAGTAGGCAAACAGTCAAAGGCATCATACTTGTCACAGTAGTAACAGAAATTGAAACTAAGTTCTCTTCGAATAAATACTTCTTCTATAAAGGCATCTTTGCAAGTTTTTGATGCTTGAGCTTGTTGTACTTGACATACAATTTCAACAGGAGAAATATGACCAAAATGCAAATAAGGAGACATATGACTCACTAGACAAAGATACTTTGCTCTCCAACAAACAAATACAAGAAATACTACCTTACCACAATTCAAACTAGGATCGTTCCTTTTCTTCTCGTAATCTCGTAACTTGGATCGACAAAACTCTGCAAGTCTTCTTTTGGCTTCCGTTTCCCCTCCGACAAAATGGGATACGGGTGGCACAGTCTTATCTACATTCAATCGTTCAACTAGTTCTTTGGCTTCTCCTTGCAAATCCAAAACAGTCAACTCATCTATCTGAGGAATATCCACCAACTGGTTCTCAACATGAATAGTGTCTGCCCAAGGAATAAGAAACTTGTTGGCATGTTTCCATAGTTTAGGTCGAATTGTCCTAGCAGCATACTCTTCTTTGTCAGTAACCAATTCCACTGGAACGACACACTCAGTTTCCACTTGAATAAAACTGCAGTCGATATTACTTGCAACGCGTTGGCGCCAATTCTTGGTTACTCGAAGATAGTTCATGTCCACTACTACTTGTACCGCTTTATGGAATAACTTTTCAACCATTTGTTCGGGCTCTGAATGAAACACTACCATTGACAACTTTCTTTCCGCCAATTGTCGTTGTACGTCTTGCAAGCCTTCCAATAAGAATGCATAGTGACGAGCGTTTGCTTCAGGAAAAGATTCTGTCAGACCAAAACATATCAACAAAGGTTTTCCCAACTGATTCGCACTAAATACTGCATATTGTAAGGCGTAGTTGTAGGTTAAACGAACAGCTGCTTGCATCCAATACAATACAAACTCTCTGCTCTCTTGAACAGGTTTATTATTTAATACACGAACACGTTGATTGGACACAGGACAATTCATTGCAATGGAATGGCAAGAAGTTCTTTTACGAGGGAAAGGAAAGAAGAGAGTTTGAAAACTTAAAGTACTGAATTGGGTGATATTCCTCGAGCACCAACGCCACCACCACAAATTCATTCGATGAGTGAAATTCCCTTTTGCTGACAAATAGAAATTACTGGAAAGATTTAGGAAAATAGACATACTCTTGCTTTACTTTGTTCTATCCATCAAAAAGTTTGTCTAATGAAACTGACAAGATTCTTTTATTTAGAATGACATGTGTAATAAGAAGTTGAAGAAACCGAGTTTTGTTTTTCTGTAGAAGAAAGTGTCGTTTATGGACCAAGTTTTGTTCCCTAAGGTTGACTCTTGCAGCTTCTAGAAGTAAAGCGAATCTCATTGTTACCAGTCGTCGCCAAGCTGTGCTCAGAAATCTATCTTTATTAACCATTCGTTTAGAAAGCATGCAACTGGAAAGACTTTAACAAGAATATACTATACTGAAGATAAAATTTATTTACTCGTTTTAAGTGGCAAGACAATAAATTTGGGAAAATGTTCTCTTCCTAGTAGTCTTCTAAAGTATAGCAGACTCCGTATCAATCCTTGCAGACAAATTCATGTTTGTCAAGTAAATTCTAGAGATACAGCAGTTAGTATATTTATCTTAGGAGTCCTCTTCATTTTAAAACTTTCTCGTGAGGTTTACAAGTTTCTACAACTTCATCACTACTAGATAGTTCTCTGTTTATGACACTCTATGCAGATATTCAGTGTCCCATATCAACTTGAGAATTATATCAGATATTCAACACGGACAATCCCACTTTCAAGAATCTTCTGGACTAGGAATATTCATTGGTAAGAGAATATTTAAAATAATTTCACGTTTCTTCATTCTGCATTTAGAACCAAATCTGTTTAGTGGATTGAATAGAATGAATGATTCCCCTAAAAGTTATCCAAGACCAGGAGAACATGGTTGCCCTGTCAAGTCACAGTATGAAAACTTTATTGGTGGTAAATGGGTTCCTTCTGTCGAGGTCAACACTGTGACAACGTGTCCCCTGTGAATGGAAAAATATTCTGCAAAAGTGCAACTACCGAAGAAAATGAACTGGACTTGAATGTTGCCCACGCTGCAAAGGACAAGTTTGATGCAACAACTTTTGAGAACAGAAAGCAAAGTAATTGATTCTTATGGCAGATACTGCAGAACAAAATTGGAGAAATTTGCTCTTGCTGTAGATATTCCTTTGGCAGAGAAACACTTGAGATATTTTGCTTCAGCTTTAGAACTCTAAAAGGTTTTATTACCGAGCATAAGAAAAATACGATTGCCTATCATGTTGTGGGAGTCATCATTCCTTGGAATTTTCCCATATTAATGGCTATTTAAAGTTATCTCCAGCACTTGCCGGAGCCAACTGCATCATTATTAAACCAACAGAACAAACTCCAGCTTCTATTATAGTGCTGATGGAAGTATGGGTCAATATTGTAGCACAGGGTGTTATCAACGCTGTTACTGGTTATGGGCCTGAAACAGGAAAACTTTAGCATGCAGTCCTCGAATTGCAAAAATAGCATTTACGATTGAGACCACAACAGAGCAGCTGATCATGCAATAGGCTTCCCAAAATATCATTCCAGTCACCTTAGAATTGGGTGCAAATGAAAATGATGAATTCCTTGAAAAGGCTGTAGAAGGTTGCGTTGTGTTTGAGGAGAAAGTTTGTACTTTTCCATCAAGGGCCTTGTCTATGATTCTATCTATCACAAGTTTATTGGGAAAGTAGTTCAGAGACTTGGCAAAGTTAAGCATGCTCAGGTTTCTACTGAACAGGTGGACAACATACTTCACTATGTTGAACTGGGAAAGAAGGAAGGTGCATAATGTATTGTTGGAGCAAGTGGAAAGAAAGCAATTGGAGGTGAACTAGAAGGTGGTTATTATATTGAGCCAACGATATTCAAAGAAGACAATAAGATGAGAATCTTCCAAGAAAAGATATTTGAACGAGTATTGAGTGTAACAACATTCCGTACGGAGGAGGAAGCTATTCAAATTGCCAACGATACTTCTTATGGTTTAGGTGCTGGACTATGGACTCGAGATATTATGAAAGCTTATCGAGTATCGCGAGCAATCAAAGCTGGTCGTGTTTGGGTCAACTGCTATCATGAATATCCTTCTCATGCAGCATTTGGAGGTTATAAAAAGTCTGGATTCGGTCGCGAATGTCACAAGTTGACTCTGGAACACTATCAACAGTTGAAGAATATCATCATTAGCTACTCGCCTCAGCCTACTGGTTTATTTTAATTGAGAGAGGAAATGTGAGATCTTGTTGCCTTGCCCTTCTTATGCCGTAGTTGTTGTTTGATGGGAATGTTTCATTTGCTTGTTATAAACCTTGATGTGTATCGTGGCTTCTTTTGTCGAAATCTGTTTGTTAAAATTTTTTTCCTCATACAATGTTCCTATTTCAATAGAGTGAAACTAGAGTAGGATGTGACATTGCACACACTGCATTGGTTCTAAAATAGAAGGGAATCGCAAAAAACTCACAGACTTGTGTAGAAAATCCTTGTTGACACAAGGTCTGAGAATGAACTTATCCATGGTTAATAATGTCGAAATGGGAGTGCTTTTGGCACATTTGTCTTAACCACTCTTTAGTCTCGCTTGATGGTGTTGGTTATTTCTTCTGAATATGTTTCAGAGACTTGTGGTCTTCAAGTCTTTGTTTCACTGTCATATTGCCATTGCCTCTTATGAACTATTCCTCTGCTTACAGTTGAAGCACTTCCAGGAGTTGTCCAAAGAATCAGACAAAAAAAGAATTCGATAGCTGGATATAGCAACAAATCTACAAAAGTTTTTACGTAAGGCTATGGATACAAAAGATCTTATACGTTTACTAAGAAATCACTGTTCTTAGAATTCAACGTTGCAAGCTCACACCTTTCAAGGTTCTAAAGAGTGTCTATCTTGGTCACACTTTTGTAGGTTGAGCCTATCTCTTTGCTGAACTTTTGGGTTCAGTTTGAAGACCTATGACTTCTGCGAGACTCCAATAAAAGGGAATTTTTTCTAAACGAGACTCCTTTTTTGATAAAAGAATGGAAAACCTTGAGGTGAGCTTATGCAGACTCTGAAGTTGTATGTGAGAATCTCAAGTGCTTGTCAAACTTCTTTTTCTAATACAATAGTGAAGTAGGAATCAAACGAAGAAAATATGGAACGGGTACAGAAACTAACTCCTGTCAAGAATAATCTTTATTCCAAGTTTCTGGTAGACTCTTAAAGGCTTTTTTCAGTCTCTCAAGATTGGGTTTGCTGACGATGGGTTCGATTTCACCAAAACTGAATAGTTTAAGAGTATGACTTTCTGGAAGTCCTTCAAAAACATGGCCTTTGTCCAGCAGTGTCGGAGTTTGATCGACTAGAAACTTTTGTTAACAATCCGCCTTCAACTCTTATTTGTTATTTTGCGGAGATAGGTTGTAACAGTCTCATCATTGATAGCAGTGAAACAGTGAAGACAAAACAGCTCAGCAAGTTTTCCTTTATCTCTGTTACACTATCCAAGACATGTATCTCACTCTACTGATTAAGAAAAGAGCAAAACTTTCTCCAAAAGTAGTGTTTACAGGTTAGTATGTTGTATCCGAGAGTTTGCGTCCCAGAGTACAAGTAGTCCTCGACAAACAGACTTTGCGCAACCGTACAAATCTAGGCAAGATTAAGAACTCTTTTAAGTCACCAGAATAGCTTATTAGAATATGAAAGCCTACAAGTTTAATAAAAGAATACTTGGGAAATTTTGAATATATATATGTATATATTTATTTATATTCGCCGAAGAAGCTGTAACTTGTTTTTATTTTCCATAAAACAAATAGCCTTCAAGGTAATCTGATTCAAATTCGTCTTCAAAGTCAAGAACCTGAAAGATGTTGTCAGCAAGACTCCATAGCTTAAGAAAGCAAAGCTTGGGTAACATGGTCTAGGAATGTGACCCTTTTGTTAGGCATAGTAATTCATCTAGAATTATGGTGTAATAAGCTATATCAATACTATTTTCCAAACTTGTCTATTTGCCGCTTATCTACAGACCCAAAGATGGTGAGCTCCTCTATGAGAGGTTCTCTTTCTGGTCTATGTTTCTTTCCCAATTGCGCTCTTGTTCTTCCATAGGACATCATTGTAATATGAAATAAATGTTGCAATAAAACAGAACCAACGAATTTTAAAACAACATTATAAAGCAAGCACAAATGAAATACACGGAGTAACAGTATTTTAACCACAAACGCAAAAACCGCAGGCAATGAAATAGTCATTGCTACAAATTCCTCCAGTAAATCGACCACAGCTGCCCAAAGTTGAACATATGTCAGCTCCAAAATGAAAATAGCAAACTGCCCTTTGAAGGGTGTTGCAGGGAAGACCGCCAGGAGTAGAAAAGGTTTCGTTCACTCCAGTTTCTCGATGTTGCAAAAGAAGACCGAGTACTTGCAAAGAACCCACCGCTAAGTCCCCTATTTTCAAAACTGAACTTTGGTCAAGACCTGTGAGATTTAGAAACTCAAAGACGGACTTTTCCAAACTCTCAATCACGCCTGCTTCATTGCCAGGAACAAGAATGTCAGTGGGAACAGCAGTCACCTTTGAAATGCAAGGAATTGTAAACTGAGTAAGAAACAAACCAACTAGAAGAGCTACTTTCAAGCTGATAAACATTTCTATTCTTCTCTATTTCCCAAATTTTGAAGCTTAACTACTCAAAAGTTCAGCCAGTCCCTACAAGCACCCCAAAACTCTTTTGATGTTGAGACTGTTGAGTGAAACAGTAATTTACACGACATGCTTACTGGTTCGCATAGACGTCCCTCGCGACTGCATAATTGTCTAATGAATCTCTCCGTCCTGAATCCAATGTGTTCGATAATACCGACCCATCGCTCTCTATTCTGGCCAATCATTTTCACAATGTCCAAAGCCATTCTTGTGGATCGTCATTGGACAGGTCGAAACTCTGTAAAAATTTTTGGACACAACAACTGGGTGCTTTGTCTAGACATATGTTTCATATCAAGGGAGTTCTGCTTACAATGTTTACCGATTGTATTTCCAAATGTCGAAAATGATAACACGGTTCAAGCAACAGTTGAAGTTTCTATTTCATATTGCTTCGCCATTCGTGATACGGCAAATTTCTTTGAAACAAAGAAAGGTCTGTTTATGTGCTCTCTTCTTTGCTTCTGGTGACATTTTGGGCATTGTCATGAATGGCACTATCTGCCCTGGTATAAGACTTACGATGGTTATTGCACTCTGTGTTAGTCAAATTTAAAAAGAGGTAATAGACAGGATTGGAAAGGGTTCTTCACAGAGAAGGAATAACAGAGTCAACACCATATATTCTCAAATGAATCATTTTACAGCTTGGAAAGAGCAATTCTCGTTACAGTTGCGTGAATTATTCCATGTGGCTCATCTGTAGGGATATAAATATCATTTTCAAACGCAATTCCATGGTTTGAGAAAACTTCCAAATTGGCTGGCAGATAGTGAATATTTGGCATGCTCAAAGATACCTATCATATAATTGAAGTTACTTAAGAATCTCAAAATATTGCTTCCTACTTGATCAATTTCTGGGATTTTATAAAG